GGTCCTTTAACCTTTTTCATTATATAACGTGCAACATAAGCTGCACTATTCCAAGTTACATCACCAACTGAAACTATACCACGATTCCAAATTTTTGCTATTTCGTCAGATAAATAAATTTTATCATAATTTTCATTAGTAAATAAATATTTTTTATCAAATATAGGAAGATTAAATGCTATTATATGGAAGTGAGGTCGATTAGTTTGACTTCCATATTCACCACAAGCATAAAATCTAATATTTTTTAAATTATAATGATATTCATAATATCGACGTAAATCTTTTAAAAACTTTGTTAAATGTTCAGGAACTAAAGTAGGAACTTTACCAACTTCACCAGTCTCTTTATTAATAGAAGTACCATAAACTAAATGTTCATCATCATAAGTTAAAGTAAGAAATGCGTTATCACTCCACTCCATTGATTCAAGTACACAACGATCAGCCCAATCTCGTGAATATTGCAATCTGCAACCAACACATTTGCCACAAGGCATTTGTGTCCACTCTTGCTCAGGATGTTGTGATAAATATAAAGAACTAGGTTCTTCAGCAGAAACTACATGAAATTTCTTATCAATTCCATTTCGAAATCTCCAACCATACAAAGGATGATAGCAAGACATAATTTTTCCCTTTATTTTTTAACGCCACTACGTGTCGTATTTTTTTGCCACAATTAAAATTGTGTCAGTTAGCACCATTACATCAAGTAAGGTAATGGTGCTAACTTAGCAACTTCGTTGCTGTAAGGAAGTGCATTCCGCACTTATATTTAAAAATGTTAATAAACATAATATAAATTTATCACTTAAAACAACTAAAAATTTAACTTAATTATAATAGGTAACAAAGTATATAAAATTATACTAATATACTTTTTAGAAGCTAAAAAGTATCAAAAAGCTATATATTCTAATTATATGATAACATAGCTTTTGCAGTAGAAATTAAATTACCAACTTTATTGTACAAATCATTTGTAATTTTACGATCACGATATTGCTCATAAGCAGAATCATGATTTAATTGACGATTTTTCTCATTAGCGTCTTTATGATTGACAGATTCCATTAAACTAGCAGCACTAGATACAATACCAGTAGCAGTAGAAATTAAATTACCACTAGAACCTGAAACACTAGGAGAATCTGCACCATAACCACCAGTAGCACTCAACACTGGATTAAGACCAGCTTTTTCAAGATCAGCAACTTCTCTTTGATGTGCTGATGAAGATAAATAATCTTCAAAATCCATTTGTTGAGTTTTACCAGTAATACGATTCCAAATATCACCAAATGTATTTGTAACTAAATGATCATTATCACGTGCTTGTTTATACATAATACCTCACTAATGATGATCAATAAGACCAGGAATAGAATACATAGGCATAGGACGAGTACAAATATTCTTAAAATAAAAATCTGCAATAAATTGATCAGAAACACTAGATTGAACAGCCAAAGTTCTATCAACATTAGCTTTTGTTTCAGCAATCCAAGTAGAGCTTAATGTAGGCAAAGAAGTATATTTATCTGCATAATGCCAACTATCAAGAGTACCAGAAGCAGTAGACCTAAATTGACCAGTAACATGAGATGGTTTGTATCTATACTCTGCCCAAGCTTCTTGATAACCAAAAGCTTCATTATCAACAGAAGAACCTTGTGCATAAATTTCCTTATTCAATATAGCTTGTTCACCAATATTAGCCAAAGATGGCCAATAGAAATCAAAACGTTTAGTTCTAGACCACATACGATCAATACCTTGCTGATATGTATGCTCAGTTCTAACACATGCTAAACCAATAACAAAACCATGTTCTGTAAAAGACTTAGTAAATGTATGATGAGAATCACCAGTTAAAGAGTATGCAGCAGTATTACCTTGAGGTGAAGTACTATCAGTAGATGATGTTTGTAAAACTTGAGAAATATTAATAGGAATACGCTTACCGCCTAAATATTCAGGACGTTGTTGTCTAGCGTCAGGGGATGTAACGCCAAAATGAGAACGAATAATTTCAGTATAACGTGAACCACCACGAGAATCTTTCTCATATAATTTTTGAGTTTGAAAAGCTAAACGTAATTGATTTACAGTAGCAGCAGTTGCATTTGTCAAATCACTATATAAAGCTAAATCAGCATGACCATAATATGAACCAGGAGCAGCACCATACAAGCCAATCTTTCCAGTAGATCCTGCAGAAATAGTATTATTAGAAGAAGGTTCTACTATATCACCAGGAGTTTTACCAGAAGGAGCACCTTCTGCAGCATAAAAGAATCTTAAACCAGTTAACTTATCAAGATCACTTGCAACTGATGAATCATAACTCTTAACAGGAGCTGTAGTTCCAAGAGGTAATAAAACATCAGGACCTTTTTGAGGTTCAGGTAAAGCAGATGTAAAATAATCATGATATTTATTTACAGGCAAAGGCATACCACCTTTAACAGGATCTGATTGATATACAGAACCATTAGAACCAGTAATAGTAGTATCATCTAATGGAATATAAGTAGGATCTTGTAAATTTTGATCTCTAAACCACTCGTTCCAAATTAAACAATATGCACGAGTAATCAAAGAAGAAACACTCAAACCTGCAACTCCAATAGGCAAACCAAAATAATCAGCAATAGTACCTCTACTCCAACCACCACTAGGAGAAGTTAATTGAGGTATTTCATAAATTGTAGTTTGAGTCCATTTACCAGTTGTATTTTCACCATTAAACTCTCTCCAATGTTCCCAAACTAATCTATTTGGTACACTAAAGAAATAAATATCCATATTTAAATTATCCATTGTAGGATGAATAGGGGTTGTCATACGAGCTACAACAGATAAATCTAAACTAAAAGTATCGCCAGGTAAAACTTCGTCAACAAATATAGGAATTAATAAACCAGCATTAAAAGTGGTTTTTAATTGAGAAGATCTATCAAAAGAAGAACGAGAAATATCGACACTTGTAGGATTTAAACTAAAATGTGATTCAGAATTTCTATTCATTATGTGCCTCCATATTTACAGGATGATCAAATGCTGAAGTTTCGACATTTTGATTTATATTTTCTTTTTCTTCAACAGGCTTAGTTTGAAATTTTGATAAAATAGATTTATAACTTCCATCAGAGAAACTTGCCAAAAACTCTGTGTATGAATGATTAAATTCTTTACGAACCTCAACAGGCAAATTATTAAACATGTTTTCTGCATCAATAACTTGCTGTTGTGCCTCTGCTAAAGTTTTAGGAAATTGAGTAAAATCACCAAATTGACCTTTTGCTTTATCTAAAACATTAGTTTCACCATTATCAAATCTCTCAAGTATAGAATAAACATCACAAGAATCTTTATTTACTTGAATTTTTTCATATAAATTAGTCTTACCTACTTCAACAAGATCTTTAACACCTTTCTTGTCAACTTGAAGCTCAAATACAGGCTCAAAACCATCACCAGTAGGACAAGACTCTGCTATAGGTGGGTTAAAAGCTGAATAAAATTCCATTATTCACCAACCTTATCTGCTGTAACACAATCTGATAAATTAATCAAAAATCTGACATCAGATTCAATAATACCAGTAGCAGAATCAAACACACCTAAACAATATAATTGCTTATCTTTATAATTTTCCTTAACAGGATTGTCCTTAATATCATTAACAGCATTAGTAACTGCTCTAATAGCAGTACCATCATTTGCCATATAAATAGGACTTTGATATTCACCTACAACGGTGTCTTTTATTGCATAAATATTAATTTTCATAATTACTCCTAATAATTTTTAATAATACCTGACAAACGACGTATTTCAGCTTTTAGCTTATAACGTTTTTTATCAATTACATATAACTCGTCTTTTAATCGAGCTAATGAACTTAAAACTAGATCATAATACTTGTCAGACATATTATAACCTCGTTCCACCACGTCTAACAACAGGATCGACATTTATAAGTTTAGTTTTAACAGCTGTACGTCGAAATACCTTTTTGTCAACGCTTGGTTTTACTTTAATTCGTCTCATAATTACTCCTTATCTTCAGAAGTTACTTCAGGTAAACTTATACCATACTTCTTGCAAAGCTTTACAATACGTTTTTGATAGATTTCTTCGGCATTAGATTTTATTTCATCTAAAGTCAAAGATTTACTCTTACCTTTCTTAAAAAGAACAACTAAGAATATTGAAACATCAAAAAAAGTCGAAACAATTAAAGAAATAGTACCCAAATCCATACTCTACTCTACTCCATTTCTTACAAAAATTTGTCAGACAATTTTTCGTATAAGAAGTGTTTTGCGAAAAGATACTCGTCTTTTACTATAATCTTCAATAAGTCATCCACAATGCCCTACTGGATTATATATTATAAGTTGAAAGATAGTTTTTAATAATCTTACGAACTAAAGCGGTATGCTTTATTCCTTTAGATTTAGCAATATTCTCTAACGCTTCTCTATCTTCCAGACTTATACGGACGTTAACCCGCGCTGGAACACTTTTCATACTACATCTATCGACCTCCTTTTGTCTAACATTAAAAATAGTATAAAAAAATTGTGCCACAAAGTCAAGAAATTGTGCCACAATTTTAAATATTTTTTAAATTTCTTTTCAAACTTGAAATTTGATATATTTTATCACGTTCTTTAACTGATAAATATTCAACTTTATTTAATGAAGTTTTTTCTAAAACTAACTTCATAGAATTATTAGCAGAAGATTTTCTCTGTTCCTTTATAGCTTTCATTGCTTCAGGACTATCTAAATCATATAACTTGTCAAAATACTTAACAGGTTTAATAACCTTTGTTCTACCCTTTACAGACAATAAAATCTCATCAGTATTATAAATTTTATCTCTATTATTCTCATAATACTTATACGCAATACCAGGACGTCTGCTACTTCGAGTAAATTCAGGAACAATTCCTAAATCAGAATAATACTCCTTAGAATTAGGTCCTTTAACCTTTTTCATTATATAACGTGCAACATAAGCTGCACTATTCCAAGTTACATCACCAACTGAAACTATACCACGATTCCAAATTTTTGCTATTTCGTCAGATAAATAAATTTTATCATAATTTTCATTAGTAAATAAATATTTTTTATCAAATATAGGAAGATTAAATGCTATTATATGGAAGTGAGGTCGATTAGTTTGACTTCCATATTCACCACAAGCATAAAATCTAATATTTTTTAAATTATAATGATATTCATAATATCGACGTAAATCTTTTAAAAACTTTGTTAAATGTTCAGGAACTAAAGTAGGAACTTTACCAACTTCACCAGTCTCTTTATTAATAGAAGTACCATAAACTAAATGTTCATCATCATAAGTTAAAGTAAGAAATGCGTTATCACTCCACTCCATTGATTCAAGTACACAACGATCAGCCCAATCTCGTGAATATTGCAATCTGCAACCAACACATTTGCCACAAGGCATTTGTGTCCACTCTTGCTCAGGATGTTGTGATAAATATAAAGAACTAGGTTCTTCAGCAGAAACTACATGAAATTTCTTATCAATTCCATTTCGAAATCTCCAACCATACAAAGGATGATAGCAAGACATAATTTTTCCCTTTATTTTTTAACGCCACTACGTGTCGTATTTTTTTGCCACAATTAAAATTGTGTCAGTTAGCACCATTACATCAAGTAAGGTAATGGTGCTAACTTAGCAACTTCGTTGCTGTAAGGAAGTGCATTCCGCACTTATATTTAAAAATGTTAATAAACATAATATAAATTTATCACTTAAAACAACTAAAAATTTAACTTAATTATAATAGGTAACAAAGTATATAAAATTATACTAATATACTTTTTAGAAGCTAAAAAGTATCAAAAAGCTATATATTCTAATTATATGATAACATAGCTTTTGCAGTAGAAATTAAATTACCAACTTTATTGTACAAATCATTTGTAATTTTACGATCACGATATTGCTCATAAGCAGAATCATGATTTAATTGACGATTTTTCTCATTAGCGTCTTTATGATTGACAGATTCCATTAAACTAGCAGCACTAGATACAATACCAGTAGCAGTAGAAATTAAATTACCACTAGAACCTGAAACACTAGGAGAATCTGCACCATAACCACCAGTAGCACTCAACACTGGATTAAGACCAGCTTTTTCAAGATCAGCAACTTCTCTTTGATGTGCTGATGAAGATAAATAATCTTCAAAATCCATTTGTTGAGTTTTACCAGTAATACGATTCCAAATATCACCAAATGTATTTGTAACTAAATGATCATTATCACGTGCTTGTTTATACATAATACCTCACTAATGATGATCAATAAGACCAGGAATAGAATACATAGGCATAGGACGAGTACAAATATTCTTAAAATAAAAATCTGCAATAAATTGATCAGAAACACTAGATTGAACAGCCAAAGTTCTATCAACATTAGCTTTTGTTTCAGCAATCCAAGTAGAGCTTAATGTAGGCAAAGAAGTATATTTATCTGCATAATGCCAACTATCAAGAGTACCAGAAGCAGTAGACCTAAATTGACCAGTAACATGAGATGGTTTGTATCTATACTCTGCCCAAGCTTCTTGATAACCAAAAGCTTCATTATCAACAGAAGAACCTTGTGCATAAATTTCCTTATTCAATATAGCTTGTTCACCAATATTAGCCAAAGATGGCCAATAGAAATCAAAACGTTTAGTTCTAGACCACATACGATCAATACCTTGCTGATATGTATGCTCAGTTCTAACACATGCTAAACCAATAACAAAACCATGTTCTGTAAAAGACTTAGTAAATGTATGATGAGAATCACCAGTTAAAGAGTATGCAGCAGTATTACCTTGAGGTGAAGTACTATCAGTAGATGATGTTTGTAAAACTTGAGAAATATTAATAGGAATACGCTTACCGCCTAAATATTCAGGACGTTGTTGTCTAGCGTCAGGGGATGTAACGCCAAAATGAGAACGAATAATTTCAGTATAACGTGAACCACCACGAGAATCTTTCTCATATAATTTTTGAGTTTGAAAAGCTAAACGTAATTGATTTACAGTAGCAGCAGTTGCATTTGTCAAATCACTATATAAAGCTAAATCAGCATGACCATAATATGAACCAGGAGCAGCACCATACAAGCCAATCTTTCCAGTAGATCCTGCAGAAATAGTATTATTAGAAGAAGGTTCTACTATATCACCAGGAGTTTTACCAGAAGGAGCACCTTCTGCAGCATAAAAGAATCTTAAACCAGTTAACTTATCAAGATCACTTGCAACTGATGAATCATAACTCTTAACAGGAGCTGTAGTTCCAAGAGGTAATAAAACATCAGGACCTTTTTGAGGTTCAGGTAAAGCAGATGTAAAATAATCATGATATTTATTTACAGGCAAAGGCATACCACCTTTAACAGGATCTGATTGATATACAGAACCATTAGAACCAGTAATAGTAGTATCATCTAATGGAATATAAGTAGGATCTTGTAAATTTTGATCTCTAAACCACTCGTTCCAAATTAAACAATATGCACGAGTAATCAAAGAAGAAACACTCAAACCTGCAACTCCAATAGGCAAACCAAAATAATCAGCAATAGTACCTCTACTCCAACCACCACTAGGAGAAGTTAATTGAGGTATTTCATAAATTGTAGTTTGAGTCCATTTACCAGTTGTATTTTCACCATTAAACTCTCTCCAATGTTCCCAAACTAATCTATTTGGTACACTAAAGAAATAAATATCCATATTTAAATTATCCATTGTAGGATGAATAGGGGTTGTCATACGAGCTACAACAGATAAATCTAAACTAAAAGTATCGCCAGGTAAAACTTCGTCAACAAATATAGGAATTAATAAACCAGCATTAAAAGTGGTTTTTAATTGAGAAGATCTATCAAAAGAAGAACGAGAAATATCGACACTTGTAGGATTTAAACTAAAATGTGATTCAGAATTTCTATTCATTATGTGCCTCCATATTTACAGGATGATCAAATGCTGAAGTTTCGACATTTTGATTTATATTTTCTTTTTCTTCAACAGGCTTAGTTTGAAATTTTGATAAAATAGATTTATAACTTCCATCAGAGAAACTTGCCAAAAACTCTGTGTATGAATGATTAAATTCTTTACGAACCTCAACAGGCAAATTATTAAACATGTTTTCTGCATCAATAACTTGCTGTTGTGCCTCTGCTAAAGTTTTAGGAAATTGAGTAAAATCACCAAATTGACCTTTTGCTTTATCTAAAACATTAGTTTCACCATTATCAAATCTCTCAAGTATAGAATAAACATCACAAGAATCTTTATTTACTTGAATTTTTTCATATAAATTAGTCTTACCTACTTCAACAAGATCTTTAACACCTTTCTTGTCAACTTGAAGCTCAAATACAGGCTCAAAACCATCACCAGTAGGACAAGACTCTGCTATAGGTGGGTTAAAAGCTGAATAAAATTCCATTATTCACCAACCTTATCTGCTGTAACACAATCTGATAAATTAATCAAAAATCTGACATCAGATTCAATAATACCAGTAGCAGAATCAAACACACCTAAACAATATAATTGCTTATCTTTATAATTTTCCTTAACAGGATTGTCCTTAATATCATTAACAGCATTAGTAACTGCTCTAATAGCAGTACCATCATTTGCCATATAAATAGGACTTTGATATTCACCTACAACGGTGTCTTTTATTGCATAAATATTAATTTTCATAATTACTCCTAATAATTTTTAATAATACCTGACAAACGACGTATTTCAGCTTTTAGCTTATAACGTTTTTTATCAATTACATATAACTCGTCTTTTAATCGAGCTAATGAACTTAAAACTAGATCATAATACTTGTCAGACATATTATAACCTCGTTCCACCACGTCTAACAACAGGATCGACATTTATAAGTTTAGTTTTAACAGCTGTACGTCGAAATACCTTTTTGTCAACGCTTGGTTTTACTTTAATTCGTCTCATAATTACTCCTTATCTTCAGAAGTTACTTCAGGTAAACTTATACCATACTTCTTGCAAAGCTTTACAATACGTTTTTGATAGATTTCTTCGGCATTAGATTTTATTTCATCTAAAGTCAAAGATTTACTCTTACCTTTCTTAAAAAGAACAACTAAGAATATTGAAACATCAAAAAAAGTCGAAACAATTAAAGAAATAGTACCCAAATCCATACTCTACTCTACTCCATTTCTTACAAAAATTTGTCAGACAATTTTTCGTATAAGAAGTGTTTTGCGAAAAGATACTCGTCTTTTACTATAATCTTCAATAAGTCATCCACAATGCCCTACTGGATTATATATTATAAGTTGAAAGATAGTTTTTAATAATCTTACGAACTAAAGCGGTATGCTTTATTCCTTTAGATTTAGCAATATTCTCTAACGCTTCTCTATCTTCCAGACTTATACGGACGTTAACCCGCGCTGGAACACTTTTCATACTACATCTATCGACCTCCTTTTGTCTAACATTAAAAATAGTATAAAAAAATTGTGCCACAAAGTCAAGAAATTGTGCCACAATTTTAAATATTTTTTAAATTTCTTTTCAAACTTGAAATTTGATATATTTTATCACGTTCTTTAACTGATAAATATTCAACTTTATTTAATGAAGTTTTTTCTAAAACTAACTTCATAGAATTATTAGCAGAAGATTTTCTCTGTTCCTTTATAGCTTTCATTGCTTCAGGACTATCTAAATCATATAACTTGTCAAAATACTTAACAGGTTTAATAACCTTTGTTCTACCCTTTACAGACAATAAAATCTCATCAGTATTATAAATTTTATCTCTATTATTCTCATAATACTTATACGCAATACCAGGACGTCTGCTACTTCGAGTAAATTCAGGAACAATTCCTAAATCAGAATAATACTCCTTAGAATTAGGTCCTTTAACCTTTTTCATTATATAACGTGCAACATAAGCTGCACTATTCCAAGTTACATCACCAACTGAAACTATACCACGATTCCAAATTTTTGCTATTTCGTCAGATAAATAAATTTTATCATAATTTTCATTAGTAAATAAATATTTTTTATCAAATATAGGAAGATTAAATGCTATTATATGGAAGTGAGGTCGATTAGTTTGACTTCCATATTCACCACAAGCATAAAATCTAATATTTTTTAAATTATAATGATATTCATAATATCGACGTAAATCTTTTAAAAACTTTGTTAAATGTTCAGGAACTAAAGTAGGAACTTTACCAACTTCACCAGTCTCTTTATTAATAGAAGTACCATAAACTAAATGTTCATCATCATAAGTTAAAGTAAGAAATGCGTTATCACTCCACTCCATTGATTCAAGTACACAACGATCAGCCCAATCTCGTGAATATTGCAATCTGCAACCAACACATTTGCCACAAGGCATTTGTGTCCACTCTTGCTCAGGATGTTGTGATAAATATAAAGAACTAGGTTCTTCAGCAGAAACTACATGAAATTTCTTATCAATTCCATTTCGAAATCTCCAACCATACAAAGGATGATAGCAAGACATAATTTTTCCCTTTATTTTTTAACGCCACTACGTGTCGTATTTTTTTGCCACAATTAAAATTGTGTCAGTTAGCACCATTACATCAAGTAAGGTAATGGTGCTAACTTAGCAACTTCGTTGCTGTAAGGAAGTGCATTCCGCACTTATATTTAAAAATGTTAATAAACATAATATAAATTTATCACTTAAAACAACTAAAAATTTAACTTAATTATAATAGGTAACAAAGTATATAAAATTATACTAATATACTTTTTAGAAGCTAAAAAGTATCAAAAAGCTATATATTCTAATTATATGATAACATAGCTTTTGCAGTAGAAATTAAATTACCAACTTTATTGTACAAATCATTTGTAATTTTACGATCACGATATTGCTCATAAGCAGAATCATGATTTAATTGACGATTTTTCTCATTAGCGTCTTTATGATTGACAGATTCCATTAAACTAGCAGCACTAGATACAATACCAGTAGCAGTAGAAATTAAATTACCACTAGAACCTGAAACACTAGGAGAATCTGCACCATAACCACCAGTAGCACTCAACACTGGATTAAGACCAGCTTTTTCAAGATCAGCAACTTCTCTTTGATGTGCTGATGAAGATAAATAATCTTCAAAATCCATTTGTTGAGTTTTACCAGTAATACGATTCCAAATATCACCAAATGTATTTGTAACTAAATGATCATTATCACGTGCTTGTTTATACATAATACCTCACTAATGATGATCAATAAGACCAGGAATAGAATACATAGGCATAGGACGAGTACAAATATTCTTAAAATAAAAATCTGCAATAAATTGATCAGAAACACTAGATTGAACAGCCAAAGTTCTATCAACATTAGCTTTTGTTTCAGCAATCCAAGTAGAGCTTAATGTAGGCAAAGAAGTATATTTATCTGCATAATGCCAACTATCAAGAGTACCAGAAGCAGTAGACCTAAATTGACCAGTAACATGAGATGGTTTGTATCTATACTCTGCCCAAGCTTCTTGATAACCAAAAGCTTCATTATCAACAGAAGAACCTTGTGCATAAATTTCCTTATTCAATATAGCTTGTTCACCAATATTAGCCAAAGATGGCCAATAGAAATCAAAACGTTTAGTTCTAGACCACATACGATCAATACCTTGCTGATATGTATGCTCAGTTCTAACACATGCTAAACCAATAACAAAACCATGTTCTGTAAAAGACTTAGTAAATGTATGATGAGAATCACCAGTTAAAGAGTATGCAGCAGTATTACCTTGAGGTGAAGTACTATCAGTAGATGATGTTTGTAAAACTTGAGAAATATTAATAGGAATACGCTTACCGCCTAAATATTCAGGACGTTGTTGTCTAGCGTCAGGGGATGTAACGCCAAAATGAGAACGAATAATTTCAGTATAACGTGAACCACCACGAGAATCTTTCTCATATAATTTTTGAGTTTGAAAAGCTAAACGTAATTGATTTACAGTAGCAGCAGTTGCATTTGTCAAATCACTATATAAAGCTAAATCAGCATGACCATAATATGAACCAGGAGCAGCACCATACAAGCCAATCTTTCCAGTAGATCCTGCAGAAATAGTATTATTAGAAGAAGGTTCTACTATATCACCAGGAGTTTTACCAGAAGGAGCACCTTCTGCAGCATAAAAGAATCTTAAACCAGTTAACTTATCAAGATCACTTGCAACTGATGAATCATAACTCTTAACAGGAGCTGTAGTTCCAAGAGGTAATAAAACATCAGGACCTTTTTGAGGTTCAGGTAAAGCAGATGTAAAATAATCATGATATTTATTTACAGGCAAAGGCATACCACCTTTAACAGGATCTGATTGATATACAGAACCATTAGAACCAGTAATAGTAGTATCATCTAATGGAATATAAGTAGGATCTTGTAAATTTTGATCTCTAAACCACTCGTTCCAAATTAAACAATATGCACGAGTAATCAAAGAAGAAACACTCAAACCTGCAACTCCAATAGGCAAACCAAAATAATCAGCAATAGTACCTCTACTCCAACCACCACTAGGAGAAGTTAATTGAGGTATTTCATAAATTGTAGTTTGAGTCCATTTACCAGTTGTATTTTCACCATTAAACTCTCTCCAATGTTCCCAAACTAATCTATTTGGTACACTAAAGAAATAAATATCCATATTTAAATTATCCATTGTAGGATGAATAGGGGTTGTCATACGAGCTACAACAGATAAATCTAAACTAAAAGTATCGCCAGGTAAAACTTCGTCAACAAATATAGGAATTAATAAACCAGCATTAAAAGTGGTTTTTAATTGAGAAGATCTATCAAAAGAAGAACGAGAAATATCGACACTTGTAGGATTTAAACTAAAATGTGATTCAGAATTTCTATTCATTATGTGCCTCCATATTTACAGGATGATCAAATGCTGAAGTTTCGACATTTTGATTTATATTTTCTTTTTCTTCAACAGGCTTAGTTTGAAATTTTGATAAAATAGATTTATAACTTCCATCAGAGAAACTTGCCAAAAACTCTGTGTATGAATGATTAAATTCTTTACGAACCTCAACAGGCAAATTATTAAACATGTTTTCTGCATCAATAACTTGCTGTTGTGCCTCTGCTAAAGTTTTAGGAAATTGAGTAAAATCACCAAATTGACCTTTTGCTTTATCTAAAACATTAGTTTCACCATTATCAAATCTCTCAAGTATAGAATAAACATCACAAGAATCTTTATTTACTTGAATTTTTTCATATAAATTAGTCTTACCTACTTCAACAAGATCTTTAACACCTTTCTTGTCAACTTGAAGCTCAAATACAGGCTCAAAACCATCACCAGTAGGACAAGACTCTGCTATAGGTGGGTTAAAAGCTGAATAAAATTCCATTATTCACCAACCTTATCTGCTGTAACACAATCTGATAAATTAATCAAAAATCTGACATCAGATTCAATAATACCAGTAGCAGAATCAAACACACCTAAACAATATAATTGCTTATCTTTATAATTTTCCTTAACAGGATTGTCCTTAATATCATTAACAGCATTAGTAACTGCTCTAATAGCAGTACCATCATTTGCCATATAAATAGGACTTTGATATTCACCTACAACGGTGTCTTTTATTGCATAAATATTAATTTTCATAATTACTCCTAATAATTTTTAATAATACCTGACAAACGACGTATTTCAGCTTTTAGCTTATAACGTTTTTTATCAATTACATATAACTCGTCTTTTAATCGAGCTAATGAACTTAAAACTAGATCATAATACTTGTCAGACATATTATAACCTCGTTCCACCACGTCTAACAACAGGATCGACATTTATAAGTTTAGTTTTAACAGCTGTACGTCGAAATACCTTTTTGTCAACGCTTGGTTTTACTTTAATTCGTCTCATAATTACTCCTTATCTTCAGAAGTTACTTCAGGTAAACTTATACCATACTTCTTGCAAAGCTTTACAATACGTTTTTGATAGATTTCTTCGGCATTAGATTTTATTTCATCTAAAGTCAAAGATTTACTCTTACCTTTCTTAAAAAGAACAACTAAGAATATTGAAACATCAAAAAAAGTCGAAACAATTAAAGAAATAGTACCCAAATCCATACTCTACTCTACTCCATTTCTTACAAAAATTTGTCAGACAATTTTTCGTATAAGAAGTGTTTTGCGAAAAGATACTCGTCTTTTACTATAATCTTCAATAAGTCATCCACAATGCCCTACTGGATTATATATTATAAGTTGAAAGATAGTTTTTAATAATCTTACGAACTAAAGCGGTATGCTTTATTCCTTTAGATTTAGCAATATTCTCTAACGCTTCTCTATCTTCCAGACTTATACGGACGTTAACCCGCGCTGGAACACTTTTCATACTACATCTATCGACCTCCTTTTGTCTAACATTAAAAATAGTATAAAAAAATTGTGCCACAAAGTCAAGAAATTGTGCCACAATTTTAAATATTTTTTAAATTTCTTTTCAAACTTGAAATTTGATATATTTTATCACGTTCTTTAACTGATAAATATTCAACTTTATTTAATGAAGTTTTTTCTAAAACTAACTTCATAGAATTATTAGCAGAAGATTTTCTCTGTTCCTTTATAGCTTTCATTGCTTCAGGACTATCTAAATCATATAACTTGTCAAAATACTTAACAGGTTTAATAACCTTTGTTCTACCCTTTACAGACAATAAAATCTCATCAGTATTATAAATTTTATCTCTATTATTCTCATAATACTTATACGCAATACCAGGACGTCTGCTACTTCGAGTAAATTCAGGAACAATTCCTAAATCAGAATAATACTCCTTAGAATTAGGTCCTTTAACCTTTTTCATTATATAACGTGCAACATAAGCTGCACTATTCCAAGTTACATCACCAACTGAAACTATACCACGATTCCAAATTTTTGCTATTTCGTCAGATAAATAAATTTTATCATAATTTTCATTAGTAAATAAATATTTTTTATCAAATATAGGAAGATTAAATGCTATTATATGGAAGTGAGGTCGATTAGTTTGACTTCCATATTCACCACAAGCATAAAATCTAATATTTTTTAAATTATAATGATATTCATAATATCGACGTAAATCTTTTAAAAACTTTGTTAAATGTTCAGGAACTAAAGTAGGAACTTTACCAACTTCACCAGTCTCTTTATTAATAGAAGTACCATAAACTAAATGTTCATCATCATAAGTTAAAGTAAGAAATGCGTTATCACTCCACTCCATTGATTCAAGTACACAACGATCAGCCCAATCTCGTGAATATTGCAATCTGCAACCAACACATTTGCCACAAGGCATTTGTGTCCACTCTTGCTCAGGATGTTGTGATAAATATAAAGAACTAGGTTCTTCAGCAGAAACTACATGAAATTTCTTATCAATTCCATTTCGAAATCTCCAACCATACAAAGGATGATAGCAAGACATAATTTTTCCCTTTATTTTTTAACGCCACTACGTGTCGTATTTTTTTGCCACAATTAAAATTGTGTCAGTTAGCACCATTACATCAAGTAAGGTAATGGTGCTAACTTAGCAACTTCGTTGCTGTAAGGAAGTGCATTCCGCACTTATATTTAAAAATGTTAATAAACATAATATAAATTTATCACTTAAAACAACTAAAAATTTAACTTAATTATAATAGGTAACAAAGTATATAAAATTATACTAATATACTTTTTAGAAGCTAAAAAGTATCAAAAAGCTATATATTCTAATTATATGATAACATAGCTTTTGCAGTAGAAATTAAATTACCAACTTTATTGTACAAATCATTTGTAATTTTACGATCACGATATTGCTCATAAGCAGAATCATGATTTAATTGACGATTTTTCTCATTAGCGTCTTTATGATTGACAGATTCCATTAAACTAGCAGCACTAGATACAATACCAGTAGCAGTAGAAATTAAATTACCACTAGAACCTGAAACACTAGGAGAATCTGCACCATAACCACCAGTAGCACTCAACACTGGATTAAGACCAGCTTTTTCAAGATCAGCAACTTCTCTTTGATGTGCTGATGAAGATAAATAATCTTCAAAATCCATTTGTTGAGTTTTACCAGTAATACGATTCCAAATATCACCAAATGTATTTGTAACTAAATGATCATTATCACGTGCTTGTTTATACATAATACCTCACTAATGATGATCAATAAGACCAGGAATAGAATACATAGGCATAGGACGAGTACAAATATTCTTAAAATAAAAATCTGCAATAAATTGATCAGAAACACTAGATTGAACAGCCAAAGTTCTATCAACATTAGCTTTTGTTTCAGCAATCCAAGTAGAGCTTAATGTAGGCAAAGAAGTATATTTATCTGCATAATGCCAACTATCAAGAGTACCAGAAGCAGTAGACCTAAATTGACCAGTAACATGAGATGGTTTGTATCTATACTCTGCCCAAGCTTCTTGATAACCAAAAGCTTCATTATCAACAGAAGAACCTTGTGCATAAATTTCCTTATTCAATATAGCTTGTTCACCAATATTAGCCAAAGATGGCCAATAGAAATCAAAACGTTTAGTTCTAGACCACATACGATCAATACCTTGCTGATATGTATGCTCAGTTCTAACACATGCTAAACCAATAACAAAACCATGTTCTGTAAAAGACTTAGTAAATGTATGATGAGAATCACCAGTTAAAGAGTATGCAGCAGTATTACCTTGAGGTGAAGTACTATCAGTAGATGATGTTTGTAAAACTTGAGAAATATTAATAGGAATACGCTTACCGCCTAAATATTCAGGACGTTGTTGTCTAGCGTCAGGGGATGTAACGCCAAAATGAGAACGAATAATTTCAGTATAACGTGAACCACCACGAGAATCTTTCTCATATAATTTTTGAGTTTGAAAAGCTAAACGTAATTGATTTACAGTAGCAGCAGTTGCATTTGTCAAATCACTATATAAAGCTAAATCAGCATGACCATAATATGAACCAGGAGCAGCACCATACAAGCCAATCTTTCCAGTAGATCCTGCAGAAATAGTATTATTAGAAGAAGGTTCTACTATATCACCAGGAGTTTTACCAGAAGGAGCACCTTCTGCAGCATAAAAGAATCTTAAACCAGTTAACTTATCAAGATCACTTGCAACTGATGAATCATAACTCTTAACAGGAGCTGTAGTTCCAAGAGGTAATAAAACATCAGGACCTTTTTGAGGTTCAGGTAAAGCAGATGTAAAATAATCATGATATTTATTTACAGGCAAAGGCATACCACCTTTAACAGGATCTGATTGATATACAGAACCATTAGAACCAGTAATAGTAGTATCATCTAATGGAATATAAGTAGGATCTTGTAAATTTTGATCTCTAAACCACTCGTTCCAAATTAAACAATATGCACGAGTAATCAAAGAAGAAACACTCAAACCTGCAACTCCAATAGGCAAACCAAAATAATCAGCAATAGTACCTCTACTCCAACCACCACTAGGAGAAGTTAATTGAGGTATTTCATAAATTGTAGTTTGAGTCCATTTACCAGTTGTATTTTCACCATTAAACTCTCTCCAATGTTCCCAAACTAATCTATTTGGTACACTAAAGAAATAAATATCCATATTTAAATTATCCATTGTAGGATGAATAGGGGTTGTCATACGAGCTACAACAGATAAATCTAAACTAAAAGTATCGCCAGGTAAAACTTCGTCAACAAATATAGGAATTAATAAACCAGCATTAAAAGTGGTTTTTAATTGAGAAGATCTATCAAAAGAAGAACGAGAAATATCGACACTTGTAGGATTTAAACTAAAATGTGATTCAGAATTTCTATTCATTATGTGCCTCCATATTTACAGGATGATCAAATGCTGAAGTTTCGACATTTTGATTTATATTTTCTTTTTCTTCAACAGGCTTAGTTTGAAATTTTGATAAAATAGATTTATAACTTCCATCAGAGAAACTTGCCAAAAACTCTGTGTATGAATGATTAAATTCTTTACGAACCTCAACAGGCAAATTATTAAACATGTTTTCTGCATCAATAACTTGCTGTTGTGCCTCTGCTAAAGTTTTAGGAAATTGAGTAAAATCACCAAATTGACCTTTTGCTTTATCTAAAACATTAGTTTCACCATTATCAAATCTCTCAAGTATAGAATAAACATCACAAGAATCTTTATTTACTTGAATTTTTTCATATAAATTAGTCTTACCTACTTCAACAAGATCTTTAACACCTTTCTTGTCAACTTGAAGCTCAAATACAGGCTCAAAACCATCACCAGTAGGACAAGACTCTGCTATAGGTGGGTTAAAAGCTGAATAAAATTCCATTATTCACCAACCTTATCTGCTGTAACACAATCTGATAAATTAATCAAAAATCTGACATCAGATTCAATAATACCAGTAGCAGAATCAAACACACCTAAACAATATAATTGCTTATCTTTATAATTTTCCTTAACAGGATTGTCCTTAATATCATTAACAGCATTAGTAACTGCTCTAATAGCAGTACCATCATTTGCCATATAAATAGGACTTTGATATTCACCTACAACGGTGTCTTTTATTGCATAAATATTAATTTTCATAATTACTCCTAATAATTTTTAATAATACCTGACAAACGACGTATTTCAGCTTTTAGCTTATAACGTTTTTTATCAATTACATATAACTCGTCTTTTAATCGAGCTAATGAACTTAAAACTAGATCATAATACTTGTCAGACATATTATAACCTCGTTCCACCACGTCTAACAACAGGATCGACATTTATAAGTTTAGTTTTAACAGCTGTACGTCGAAATACCTTTTTGTCAACGCTTGGTTTTACTTTAATTCGTCTCATAATTACTCCTTATCTTCAGAAGTTACTTCAGGTAAACTTATACCATACTTCTTGCAAAGCTTTACAATACGTTTTTGATAGATTTCTTCGGCATTAGATTTTATTTCATCTAAAGTCAAAGATTTACTCTTACCTTTCTTAAAAAGAACAACTAAGAATATTGAAACATCAAAAAAAGTCGAAACAATTAAAGAAATAGTACCCAAATCCATACTCTACTCTACTCCATTTCTTACAAAAATTTGTCAGACAATTTTTCGTATAAGAAGTGTTTTGCGAAAAGATACTCGTCTTTTACTATAATCTTCAATAAGTCATCCACAATGCCCTACTGGATTATATATTATAAGTTGAAAGATAGTTTTTAATAATCTTACGAACTAAAGCGGTATGCTTTATTCCTTTAGATTTAGCAATATTCTCTAACGCTTCTCTATCTTCCAGACTTATACGGACGTTAACCCGCGCTGGAACACTTTTCATACTACATCTATCGACCTCCTTTTGTCTAACATTAAAAATAGTATAAAAAAATTGTGCCACAAAGTCAAGAAATTGTGCCACAATTTTAAATATTTTTTAAATTTCTTTTCAAACTTGAAATTTGATATATTTTATCACGTTCTTTAACTGATAAATATTCAACTTTATTTAATGAAGTTTTTTCTAAAACTAACTTCATAGAATTATTAGCAGAAGATTTTCTCTGTTCCTTTATAGCTTTCATTGCTTCAGGACTATCTAAATCATATAACTTGTCAAAATACTTAACAGGTTTAATAACCTTTGTTCTACCCTTTACAGACAATAAAATCTCATCAGTATTATAAATTTTATCTCTATTATTCTCATAATACTTATACGCAATACCAGGACGTCTGCTACTTCGAGTAAATTCAGGAACAATTCCTAAATCAGAATAATACTCCTTAGAATTAGGTCCTTTAACCTTTTTCATTATATAACGTGCAACATAAGCTGCAC